GGCACTACCTGGATGATTAGTGGGCAATTTTATAAGGATAAATGCATAGTTTGTATGTTGGTCAAAGCACTTTTTGATGGGGGAAAATGCCCTGATGGTACTGTGGACAGTGTTGTATTAGTATGTATGAAGACATTGGATATACCAATGCAATTTTGAGATTCAATGAAAGTAATCATTGGTATTTGTAGTCTTCAATTTTGGGATTCAATGTTGACCATAAACATAAAGAAAAAATCACTGCGAGTTAAATATTAAAAATGCATCCTTCATATTAACAATACCAAAAAAATACATAGTTTNTACTCAATTGAAAAATCTGAGTCTGATCTTCGAAGGCTAGCACGTCATTATCACGTTAATAAGAGTTAGGAACTTATTCTTATGGCCAGTAATTATAAATGCCACGGGTCAACCCGGAATGAAATGAAGACAAAGTGGTTGGTAATGGTTTTAAAATTTGTTGTTGGATCAATCTATTTTAATTATTTTTTAATAAATTAAAAGGGTTTTATCTCTTAAATAAGTATCTAAGTAAACGTAAAAAAATAATTTATTCTTCTAAAATCATTTTTCCACAAATTTTTTTTCATTTTTATATTTATTATCATTATTACCATCATCTAACCACCACCACCAAAGGCAGAACTACATGGAGACCAAAGGGGCATGCCCCCCACCCCCACCCCAACCTCCCCTTCATATTTTTAAAATTATTTTATTCCCCTTTTAAATATCCAAAAATTTTATATGGTCTTATAAGTTTCTAAAAATTTCTTTTTGTATAAAATATATTCAATTAGTGTATCCAAAATGCATAATAGCATCACATTAAACATTTAATAACTAAAGGTTTTTCGACACAATGGTCCCCAAAGTATTAGTTCGTTGTCATTTTGGGCCCTCATGTTTAAATTTTGTCATTTTAGTTCCTAACCTTTTAAATTTGTGTCTAATTGGTCCTTTTCCTAACCTCTGTCCAAATCCCAAACAAAACCATGACATGTGCTTCACATGTGACCTGCTTGTGAGGGGCAAACTTAGCAAATAACATTTGTTCTTCTGCTTATTTTAAGGAAATTGGGCAAAACTTGTTGCGGTTATTTGGGTAAACGTTTGTTAGGGTTCTGAGAGACCGAATGGAAGATTTTGAAGTTGTTTGGAGACATAGTCGAAGGAACGATTTGAAGTTGTCCTGCCATGAAATATCGACTTTAAAGTGAAGCTGCCATGATAAATCTCTGCCTTCTATATGCTAAAGCTTCTACTTAGGGCGTTGAACTGAAGCACTTCAGTTAGTATAATGAGGGTAACGATTTTGACGTTGTAGCTTAAGCCAACTGGATCTTGAAAGTGTTTGAAGATTTTGTAGCCATATGCAATGCCTTTGACTTTCTGCTATTGTGGGCATGTTGCACAAATGAAAATCTCCTGGATTGATGCAAACCTTGGGAGGAGATTTTTTTTGTTGCAAAAAAAAATGGGGTGTGGCTCTACAAACTTAAATCTTGAATTTTTAAAATTCTTAGAATTTGTGGCTCTACAAACAAATTGATTTCATTGCTTGACCAGTACAGACTATAATAGACATTGGATTGTGTTTATAGAGAAACACCAAAGAGTAGCAAATTGATTTCATTGCTTGGCCAATACAGACTATAACAAACATTGGATTGTGTTCATAGAGAGACATCATAGAGTGATAAACTAATTGCATAGCTTGGTCACTACAAAGCTATAATGTCACTTTTTGAATTCACTTTTTGGTGTTACTTTTTTTTGAATTGTGTTTTTTCTGATGTTACTCTTTGTAGTTACACATAGGCAACAACACAAAAAGAAAACAATAACAACAATGATACTTGTTTTTTATTCTGTTTTATTAGATAAGTAATTTCTTAAATTAACGGACAATTAATCTTTTGAATTTTGAAACGATTCCATTAATATTCTAGCTAGTCAAATTTGTGGCTTTGTAATTTCTGGATTGTTAATCCCATAGTTTTCTTGCAGGCAATTGGTGGATGTGGGTTTTTTTTTTTTATGGTATGACCCCCTATGTGCGAAATGTCTAAGGCAGTGATACCTGGGCTGTTAAGGTCATTGCAGAAAAACGATGATACTTCAAGGAGGGCGAAAGTAAGGGCGAGATGTGCATGGTTTTCACTGATAGTATCTTTGTTGATCATATTGTTTATGTGGCTGGGTTCTAGAGACATAGAAGTGGAAAAGAACTTGATGGCACTACCTGGATGATTAGTGGGCAATTTTATAGGGATAAATGCATAGTTTGTATGTTGGTCAAAGCACTTTTTGATGGGAGAAAATGCCTGATGGTACTGTGGACAGTATTGTATTAGTGTCACACCCTAATTGACTTGGGTGTAAATGGTCGGTCTTGGTGGCACCTTACACCAAGGCATGCCAGAAATCGGAATCAAGGTGACGCGACTAAGTGGTTCGACAGATTGAGGCGAACCAAAGGAGCATAAGACCACCCGATTGAGCATGGCAGCATGGGTGGGCTCAATTGAAGCAATGTGGGTGCAGAGCTTCGGATTGCATGGCATGGGTTGAACCCAGCATGCACATTGGTTCGTGTAGCAAGGTTGACTGCTGAATGTGAGCACATGGCTGCTGAATGTGGGCACCTGACTAGCACATGGCTGCTCAATGCATGTGACCAGGAGGATGTGGGCGATTATGATGCTGAGACTCAATCAAGGCAGTTACTGAGGCGGTTCTGGACATTCTCAGTCTGAATCCAGTCTAGATGCATGCTGATGAAGGGCAGTTCCACAGCAGTTACTGGAAGTGGTGGAACTGTCTGTCAGGTGTTGCACAGAGACCAAGTCTGCTATCCCAGTATGCTATGGAATAACAAAAACGTGGGTAACTATCCCTTGGCAGATGGGGGTGTCATTTGCCTTCCTCTTGTATAAATAGGGGTGTTTGAGCATTCTGGAGGGAGGAGAGTGTTCTGACTTTTGAAAGTCCTTGTAAATTGTTGAGTTCAATATATAAGGTTTAGGAGTATTGTCCCAGTAAATTGGTGTGTGCCTTCTGTGTGAGTTTCTATCCCTTATTCTTGAGTTGAGTGTGGCTGGTTGCAATAGCAAAGCCTTCANCTCCAATACACTTCATTTTAGTTCTCCTCAGACCCATTCCCCTACTAAATGTTGCACCACTTGATAGAGAAAGTGAAAGGAATCATGTAAAAAATGCAACGGAATTTAAAAAATTTGATTTCTCATTCCAAAATCTATTCATGTTTAATACAAATCAAGAAATCTCAAATCTATAGTGAAGTTTAAGGGTTACCTCTTGAAACATGCTTTGAACAATCTTCAAACTTTTTCAAACAACTTTGAACCTTCAAATCTTAATTTGATCTTTACTGAAAGCCTCACAATTGTTTGGCCTTTATCGGTATCCACACGAATTAATAAACTTGAATAGTCTACCTCAATCTTTGATAAACTAGTAGAGAGAATGAGGGGTGGTTGTGCTAGCAAGAGAGTTATATCATATATTCACATCTTACATGAAGATATTTATAGAGCTTTAAAAAACTCTAGTCCTAGTTTAGGTCAAGTTGCAATTATCTCATAATTATATATAACTTCTTTTATTAATCATTAATTGTAATAAAGTCCATAATTAACACTTCATTAGGTTTTCACCCCAATTAACTCTTAATTGGTTTTCTCTCCTTATCCTTTAGTTTTCAATCAATTCTTTTGTGTGTGCCCTTTTAGGTTCAAGCATACCCGGTTGTAAGCGATCAATACTAATTATAAGTAGCATATACAATTAGAACTCTTCTAATTCTCCAGTTACGAAGAACAATTAATATATTTATATTAATTTTGTTCTTCGGGCTTCTACTAATCATGAGTGACACCTAGCAGCATGTCATGATCAACCTCTAGATAGCATGAAATAGGTTAAGACCCATTCAGCCAATTAAATTACTAGGGTATAGAATTACTATCAAACCTCTAACTCAATCTTTTGTGTTCGATCTTAGGATTATGACTCCTATTGATTAATTAGAAACTCGTTTCTAATTGTCATTTTACCTTGGTCAATGACTTCTTGAATCATATCCTAGAAGATCGCATAGGACATTCTCCCTTTATTTATTAAGGGTAATAGATTTCATGTTGTACTCTCATAAGTTTTCATGCATGTCTAACTATGTCCAATGATACAACTTCAAGTCACATGATTAGTATATGAATATGCTATATGGTTAAAACATAAAAGTTCATGTACAAGACAATCATGATTTTTCAAGTCTAAGGATTAGTTGCATAATTGTAACTTATAATTTAACATTGACAGGTATATAAAACTCTATATGAAAAAATCTATGTTAGTCATGGTCACATTCAGTGTACTTGTTCTCTAACAAGTACCCACACATCTACTTCAATGTCCGTACATTAATGACTTGGACAAGGCACCTCATATCAGATAAAAGCAAACATAATATATGCTAGTCTATCTGGATTACATAGTGTCCACGTAGTAATCTTATGACTAAGAACATTTAAGAGTTAAGTACTAATAAGTACATATCTCAATTTCTCAACACATTGAGAAACTATCTTCTTGACTTATACTCTATGGACTTTATCATATATGTTAAAATTAAATAAACCNCCACGTAGTAATCTTATGACTACATTTAAGAGTTAAGTACTAATAAGTACATATCTCAATTTCTCAACACATTGAGAAACTATCTTCTTGACTTATACTCTATGGACTTTATCATATATGTTAAAATTAAATAAACCAGTAACATGATAAATAAACTTGCGCTTTTATTTAATTAAGTAATGAATGTTGCTAGTACAATCCCAAAATATCATCTATACGATTGATCTTAGGGCATACTACTAATTGAAAGTACTCCAGAACTTGATACTGCCCCTAAACCTGCATTTGAACTTGTTGTATTCCTNCCCAAAATATCATCTATACGATTGATCTTAGGGCATACTACTAATTGCAAGTACTCCAGAACTTGATACTGCCCCTAAACCTGCATTTGAACTTGTTGTATTCCTTAACCCTCCACCAGTATAGTCCAAGCCTCTAGTTACACTTGTTGTAGTCACTATCCCTCCATTTGAACCAGTTGCAGTCCTCATTGTGCCTCCATTTGAACCTGTTGTAGTCCTCGACCCTCCACTAATAGTCCAGACCTCCAGTTGCAGTTGGTGTAGTCCCTGTCCATCCGCCAATAGAGTCCAGACCTCCAGTTACAATTGGTGCAATCCCTGTCCCTCAACTTGCTGCAGTCCCTGTCCCTCCACTTGCTACAGTCACTGTCCCTCCACTTACTAGGATCCCTTCATTTTGTGTATCAGGTAGTCTAACATTGCNCACTTGCTGCAGTCCCTGTCCCTCCACTTACTAGGATCCCTTCATTTTGTGTATCAGGTAGTCTAACATTGCAAGTCCTCTTATTGTGCCCCTTCTTTCCACATATCCTGCATTTTAATGAGTTAAAATGCAGGAAATGAGTTAAAACGAGTTTAATGACCAAGTTTCCTAACCACCTTTTGTTTCATCTGGTTCCCTTCTTCTCAGCTTTTTAGGCCTCCCAGGTTGCTTAACTGTTACTTGAGGGGGGGG